AAAATTAATGAGAAAAAGAGAAGTAATTAAAAGACATGTAATCAACCCCGATCCTAAATTTGATTCGGTTATTGTTAGCCGCTTGATTAATAAAGTAATGAAAAATGGCGAAAAGAGAAAAGCGCGTAATATAGTCTACGAAGCCGCTCAAATAATCGAAAAAAAGTCTTCTTTGCCTTTCTTGACCGTTTTTGAGGGAGCACGAACGAATGCTAAACCAGGCCTGGAATTAAAAAGTTGAAAAATAGGAGGCACTAAACGGCAAATACCAATTGAAGTCAAAAGTGAATGAAGAGCAGAGCATCTTGCCTTAATGTTCATAGTCCAAAGTGCCCGCGAAGCAAAAAGAAAATCCCGCCTGCCGTTCTTCCAAATTTTAGGTGAAATTATTTTTGATGCTTGCCACAATAAAGGTGGTGCCATTCAAAAAAAGGAAGCAATTCAGAAAAAAGGTGAAGAAAATAAGGCTTTTGCCGTTTTTCTGAATCGAAGCGCCAAGTAGAAATTTATAGCAAAATCCCCCCGCTAAATTATTCTTAAAATTCGGAAAAAAATTAGAAAAAAATAACTTCTCATTCTACTTCAAAGTAAAAGGAAAACCCAAACAATTTAAAAATTGGGTATTTTCTTCAAACGAAGAAGAACTAAAAACCAGAGCAATTTGTAGCCCCTGATTTTTAAAAGTTAAATCGTAGTTGACGGCCGGAAAAATGCTTAATTTATTTATTCCAAAACTGTAATTTCCTCTGCGGTCAAATTTTTTTTGAGAAAGTCCTTGGTTATTAGCAATCTTTTCATCCGCCGGTAAAGCAATATGAATTAATTCAAAAAGGAAATCTCACATTCTTTTTTTTCTTAATGTTACTTTACAACCAATCGGCATTCCTTCTCGCAATTTGAAGTTAGTAATTGACTTTTTAGCATGAGTAATAACTGGCTTTTGACCCGTAATTTGGTGAAGAGCCTGAACTGTATTGTCTAATAATTGCTTATTATTAACAGCCTGACCGACACCGCTATTCAAAATGATTTTTTCCAAAGTAGTAGTTTGTTGAGGAGAAGTATGCTGAAATTTTTCCCCTAGTTCCTTATTTACCTGTTTTCGTTTGGTTTCTCACCAATTATTTACGACCAGCATATATTAAATTTGATATTCTTCTTCTTTTACTAATTCAGCCGAAGTTTTTTTCTCAATGATTAGGCCAGACACTTTAAATATT